TGGTTGAATATATTTAATTAATTTAAAAAATTAACATGCATAATCTAAATGAATTGAATATTAAATTCACCTATTATTTTTTGAAAATATAAATTGGAGAGTGATAATTATATAGTGTTGATTTTTTTTTATAAAAGTTGAAATTGATATGCACGATTTTTCAAAGAATTTTTCTAATAAGTTAAAAAAGTATTAATTATATAATTTTTTCAATAATTGTTAAAAAATAAAAATTAACTTCATTTTTTATGAATTATTCAATTAAAATTATATTTATGTCCATAGAAAAATTGTATTTATGCCATTAATGTTAAAAATAAAGTTAATTTTTATACTTTCTTTATAAATTAATAAAATAAAATAAAATTAACACAATCCTAACTCAAGTTTTAATGGCATAGCTCAAACAAAGCTTTCTCAAAAACTTATTTTTTAAAAAAGTATAATATTAATATTTTTTTAATTTATAGTTTAAATTAAATAAATTATAAAATAAAAATCTTTAAATTAAAAAAATATCCTTATTTTGCATACATATACCACATATATTCCAAATCAATTTTTCCTAATATTAATAAAAAAATAAAAAAATATTTGGTCAATGCTTTAAAAGTCAAAGAGAACCTCAAAAAAAAAAAAATCATAACTTCTTCCTTTCCTTTGAATTTGCACAAATCTCACGGATCATGATTTCATCGCCCCTAGTTAAATTAGATTTGCATCATTCAAACAAAATCGAACGGCGCAGATTTTGCCTGTGATCTTAACCACAACACCGTACTGTAATCCTACGAACCCTGTCCTGTCCTGTTCTGTTCTTGCAGTCCCAGTAGATACCTAAAGCGTCACTATTTTTGTCTGCCGCATCTTCCCATCCTTAATTTCTTCAAAACCCTAGCATAAACCCATCCCCCCCAATTTCTAAACCCTAATAGCTGGAATATTCTGTTCTCATTTAGGGTTTTATTTTTTTTCTTTTTTTTTTTAAATTTATATTTGAGTTTTTCGTCGTTTCTCTCTCTGTCTCTTGGGTGATTGTTCGACGCTACGACAATGGAGACTCTTTGTTCGAACGCCGCCGTGGTGGAGAGTTTCGTGAGCTCCGTAGTTCAAGCTGCGGTGGTGCAGACAGCCGTCGTTGCTGTAAAGTCAGTTGCTTGGTCACTGTTCATGGTATATAAATTTCTCTCCTTTTTTGAGTTTTTATTGTACCTTTATTTTTGTTTGCAATTTTCTGCTTTTTAGATTTGAAACTTTCTTGTTTACAGAGATTTATTGACGTGATTAGTGTTAAATTTGTTTGATTTTTGGTTTATTCTCTTTTATTCTATCAATTTATTGGGGGAATTGATTATTTCTGTGGCATTTATTTTCATTATTTGACTGATTTCTCCAGCAGACTATTAAAGCTAGGATTTTGCAGTTTTATAACAAAATTAATTATATTTTTATAAATTTCTTTTGATTTTTTAGTGTTTTCTTGTCTAGATTAGATGGTTTAGTTTGCTTGTTAGATTGTTTACAGAATAATGCAATTCCTTAGAAGTGTAAATTGAGAGTGTAAGGAAGATTTATTATAGGAGCAGTCGGTTTGGTGATTTTCTCTTCACTTATAATCTGTTGTAGAATTCCAGATGTTTTTCTTAGTTATTCTTTTAAAACTTTTCTTTGTGATTTCCTTTTGGATCTTTCAACTGAGTGGGAATGAAGAATGAAAAGGTTGGTCAAGGGGGAATTAGAATCGCAAGATTCATAGCTCTGTATTGTCCTCTACTAGGTAGAAGTTGACCAGATGAAGAGTTCCTGCTATATATGCTTTGGAGAAAGTGTCGTTTAAAGTCCAATGCCAGTGACCTCTTCTGCTTCTGTGCTTTGTATTTGGTGCAAGATTAGTTTGGATTACAAGCTATAATTCATTTTGGCCTGCCAAATAGGCTTGTTTTCCTGGTATGAAGAGAGAGGAATTGGTTAGTACATTAGCTAGTTACCCACTTTTTACAGTTGAGAGTAAGAGGAGAGGAAAGGCAGGCGTTAGATGTTTGCTGTTTGTAATTGAAATGAATATAAGAGGTAGCCATGCATAGCTTTCAGGATTGATGAACTGGAGGAAGAATTTTGATATGCTACCTCCAGATTGATATTTAATACACTTAAATGATCATTTGTCTTCTTATTTTCCCCTTTTTGTTATCATAAATGTGTTTTTTCTC